CCACAGCCACAGCCTCAGCCTCAGCCTCAGTCTCAGCCTCAGCCTCAGTCCTCAGCCTCAGCCTCAGCCACAGCCTCAGCCTCAGTCTCAGCCTCAGCCTCAGCCTCAGCCTCAGCCACAGCCTCAGCCTCAGCCACAGCCTCAGCCACAGCCACAGCCTCAGCCTCAGTCTCAGCCTCAGCCTCAGTCTCAGCCACAGCCTCAGCCTCAGCCTCAGCCACAGCCTCAGCCTCAGCCTCAGCCACAGCCTCAGCCTCAGCCTCAGCCTCAGTCTCAGCCTCAGCCTCAGCCTCAGCCTCAGTCTCAGCCACAGCCTCAGCCTCAGCCTCAGCCACAGCCTCAGCCTCAGCCACAGCCTCAGCCTCAGCCTCAGCCACAGCCTCAGCCTCAGCCACAGCCTCAGTCTCACCCTCAGCCTCAGTCTCACCCTCAGTCTCAGTCTCAGTCTCAGCCTCAGCCTCAGTCTCAGCCACAGCCTCAGCCTCAGCCACAGCCACAGCCTCAGCCTCAGCCTCAGTCTCAGCCTCAGCCTCAGTCCTCAGCCACAGCCTCAGCCACAGCCTCAGCCTCAGCCTCAGCCACAGCCACAGCCTCAGCCTCAGCCACAGCCTCAGCCACAGCCTCAGCCACAGCCTCAGCCACAGCCTCAGCCTCAGCCTCAGTCTCAGCCTCAGTCTCAGCCTCAGTCCTCAGCCTCAGCCACAACCTCAGCCACAGCCTCAGTCTCAGCCTCAGTCCCACCCTCAGTCTCATCCTCAGTCTCAGCCTCAGCCTCAGTCTCAGCCACAGCCTCAGCCTCAGTCTCACCCTCAGCCTCAGCCTCAGTCTCACCCTCACCCTCAGTCTCAGCCTCAGCCTTAGTCTCAGCCACAGCCTCAGCCTCAGCCTCAGCCACAGCCTCAGCCACAGCCTCAGCCTCAGTCTCAGCCTCAGTCTCAGCCTCAGCCTCAGTCCTCAGCCTCAGCCACAGCTTCAGCCTCAGCCACAGCCTCAGCCACAGCCTCAGCCTCAGCCTCAGTCTCAGCCTCAGCCACAGCCTCAGCCTCAGTCTCAGTCTCACCCTCAGCCTCAGCCTCAGCCTCAGCCTCAGTCTCAGCCACAGCCTCAGCCTCAGCCTCAGTCTCAGCCTCAGTCTCAGCCACAGCCTCAGCCTCAGTCTCAGCCTCAGCCTCAGCCTCAGTCTCACCCTCAGCGTCAGCCTCAGTCTCACCCTCAGTCTCAGCCTCAGCCTTAGTCTCAGCCACAGCCTCAGCCTCAGCCTCAGCCACAGCCTCAGCCACAGCCTCAGTCTCAGCCTCAGCCTCAGTCTCAGCCTCAGTCCTCAGCCTCAGCCACAGCCTCAGCCTCAGCCTCAGTCTCAGCCTCAGTCTCAGCCACAGCCTCAGTCTCACCCTCAGCCTCAGTCTCAGTCTCAGCCTCAGCCTCAGCCTCAGCCACAGCCTAAGTCTCAGCCTCAGCCTCAGTCTCAGCCTCAGCCTCAGCCACAGCCTCAGTCTCAGTCTCAGCCTCAGTCTCAGCCTCAGTCCTCAGCCACAGCCTCAGCCTCAGCCACAGCCTCAGCCTCAGCCTCAGCCTCAGCCACAGCCTCAGCCTCAGCCACAGCCTCAGCCACAGCCTCAGCCTCAGCCTCAGTCTCAGCCTCAGTCTCAGCCACAGCCTCAGTCTCACCCTCAGCCTCAGCCTCAGCCTCAGCCTCAGTCTCAGCCTCAGCCTCAGCCTCAGCCTCAGCCACAGCCTCAGTCTCAGCCTCAGCCTCAGTCTCAGCCACAGCCACAGCCTCAGCCTCAGCCTCAGTCTCAGCCTCAGCCTCAGCCTCAGCCACAGCCTCAGCCACAGCCACAGCCTCAGCCTCAGTCTCAGCCTCAGTCTCAGCCTCAGCCTCAGGCCTCAGCCTCAGCCACAGCCTCAGCCTCAGCCACAGCCTCAGTCTCAGCCACAGCCTCAGCCTCAGTCTCACCCTCAGCCTCAGTCTCAGCCTCAGCCTCAGCCTCAGTCTCAGCCACAGCCTCAGCCTCAGCCTCAGTCTCAGCCTCAGTCTCAGCCACAGCCTCAGTCTCAGCCTCAGCCTCAGTCTCACCCTCAGTCTCAGTCTCAGCCTCAGCCTCAGCCTCAGTCTCAGCCACAGCCTCAGCCTCAGCCACAGCCTCAGCCACAGCCACAGCCTCAGCCATAGCCTCAGCCTCAGCCACAGCCTCAGCCTCAGTCTCAGCCTCAGCCTCAGTCTCAGCCTCAGCCTCAGCCTCAGCCACAGCCTCAGCCACAGCCTCAGCCTCAGTCTCAGCCTCAGTCCTCAGCCACAGCCTCAGCCATAGCCTCAGCCTCAGCCACAGCCTCAGCCTCAGTCTCAGCCTCAGCCTCAGTCTCAGCCTCAGCCTCAGCCTCAGCCACAGCCTCAGCCACAGCCTCAGCCTCAGTCTCAGCCTCAGTCCTCAGCCTCAGTCTCAGCCTCAGCCACAGCCACAGCCTCAGCCACAGCCTCAGCCTCAGCCACAGCCTCAGCCTCAGTCTCAGCCTCAGCCTCAGTCCTCAGCCTCAGCCACAGCCTCAGCCACAGCCTCAGTCTCAGCCTCAGCCACAGCCTCAGCCTCAGTCTCAGCCTCAGCCTCAGTCCTCAGCCTCAGCCACAGCCTCAGCCACAGCCTCAGTCTCAGCCACAGCCTCAGTCTCAGCCACAGCCTCAGCCACAGCCTCAGCCTCAGTCTCAGCCTCAGTCTCAGCCACAGCCTCAGTCTCACCCTCAGCCTCAGCCTCAGTCTCACCCTCACCCTCAGTCTCAGTCTCAGCCTCAGCCTCAGTCTCAGCCACAGCCTCAGCCTCAGCCACAGCCTCAGCCACAGCCACAGCCTCAGCCACAGCCTCAGCCTCAGCCACAGCCTCAGCCTCAGTCTCAGCCTCAGCCTCAGTCTCAGCCTCAGCCTCAGCCTCAGCCACAGCCTCAGCCTCAGCCACAGCCTCAGCCTCAGCCCTCAGCCTCAGCCTCAGTCTCAGCCTCAGCCACAGCCACAGCCTCAGCCACAGCCTCAGCCACAGTCTCACCCTCAGCCTCAGTCTCGCCCTCAGTCTCAGCCTCAGCCTCAGTCTCAGCCACAGCCTCAGCCTCAGCCTCAGCGTCAGCCACAGCCTCAGCCACAGCCTCATCCTCAGTCCTCAGCCTCAGCCTCAGTCTCAGCCTCAGCCACAGCCACAGCCTCAGCCACAGCCTCAGCCTCAGCCTCAGCCTCAGTCTCAGCCTCAGCCACAGCCACAGCCACAGCCACAGCCTCAGCCTCAGCCTCAGCCTCAGTCCTCAGCCTCAGCCTCAGCCTCAGCCTCAGCCTCAGTCTCAGCCTCAGCCACAGCCACAGCCTCAGCCACAGCCTCAGCCTCAGCCTCAGCCACAGCCTCAGCCTCAGCCTCAGCCTCAGCCTCAGCCTCAGCCACAGCCTCAGCCTCAGTCTCAGCCTCAGCCTCAGTCCTCAGCCACAGCCTCAGTCTCAGCTTCAGCCTCAGTCTCACCCTCAGCCTCAGCCTCAGTCTCAGCCTCAGTCTCACCCTCAGCCACAGCCTCAGCCTCAGCCTCAGCCTCAGTCTCAGCCTCAGCCTCAGTCCTCAGCCACAGCCTCAGTCTCAGCTTCAGCCTCAGTCTCACCCTCAGTCTCAGTCTCAGCCACAGCCTCAGCCTCAGCCTCAGTCTCACCCTCAGCCTCAGCCTCAGTCTCAGCCTCAGTCTCACCCTCAGCCACAGCCTCAGCCTCAGCCTCAGCCACAGCCTCAGCCTCAGCCTCAGCCACAGCCTCAGCCTCAGCCACAGCCTCAGCCACAGCCTCAGCCTCAGCCTCAGTCTCAGCCTCAGTCTCAGCCACAGCCTCAGTCTCACCCTCAGCCTCAGCCTCAGCCTCAGCCTCAGTCTCAGCCTCAGCCTCAGCCTCAGCCTCAGCCACAGCCTCAGTCTCAGCCTCAGCCTCAGTCTCAGCCACAGCCACAGCCTCAGCCTCAGCCTCAGTCTCAGCCTCAGCCTCAGCCACAGCCTCAGCCACAGCCACAGCCTCAGCCTCAGTCTCAGCCTCAGTCTCAGCCTCAGCCTCAGGCCTCAGCCTCAGCCACAGCCTCAGCCTCAGCCACAGCCTCAGTCTCAGCCACAGCCTCAGCCTCAGTCTCACCCTCAGCCTCAGTCTCAGCCTCAGCCTCAGCCTCAGTCTCAGCCACAGCCTCAGCCTCAGCCTCAGTCTCAGCCTCAGTCTCAGCCACAGCCTCAGTCTCAGCCTCAGCCTCAGTCTCACCCTCACCCTCAGTCTCAGTCTCAGCCTCAGCCTCAGCCTCAGTCTCAGCCACAGCCTCAGCCTCAGCCACAGCCTCAGCCACAGCCACAGCCTCAGCCATAGCCTCAGCCTCAGCCACAGCCTCAGCCTCAGTCTCAGCCTCAGCCTCAGTCTCAGCCTCAGCCTCAGCCTCAGCCACAGCCTCAGCCACAGCCTCAGCCTCAGTCTCAGCCTCAGTCCTCAGCCTCAGTCTCAGCCTCAGCCACAGCCACAGCCTCAGCCACAGCCTCAGCCACAGTCTCACCCTCAGCCTCAGCCTCAGTCTCGCCCTCAGTCTCAGCCTCAGCCTCAGTCTCAGCCACAGCCTCAGCCTCAGCCTCAGCGTCAGCCACAGCCTCAGCCACAGCCTCATCCTCAGTCTCAGCCTCAGTCCTCAGCCTCAGCCTCAGTCTCAGCCTCAGCCACAGCCACAGCCTCAGCCACAGCCTCAGCCTCAGCCTCAGCCTCAGTCTCAGCCTCAGCCTCAGCCACAGCCACAGCCACAGCCACAGCCTCAGCCACAGCCTCAGCCTCAGCCTCAGCCTCAGCCTCAGTCCTCAGCCTCAGCCTCAGCCTCAGCCTCAGTCTCAGCCTCAGCCTCAGCCTCAGTCTCAGCCTCAGCCTCAGCCACAGCCTCAGCCACAGCCTCAGCCTCAGCCACAGCCTCAGCCTCAGCCTCAGTCTCAGCCTCAGCCTCAGTCCTCAGCCTCAGCCACAGCCTCA